CACTTGTGCGGTCCATGATTTCTGCAGTGCGCCTGCCCGCAAACGCCAGGGCAGAGCAGAACACCTCCCACAGAGCCAGAGTCTGCGCCAGTCTTGATGTGGGTTTTGCAGGAAGGAAACGGAAAGTTGAGAGTCAGGGAATTAAGCTGGGCTCTGTTGTTCAGACAAACACAGGGGCCCTCTGGTTCCCAGATCCGCCCCCTTTCCCTCTGCACCTGTGGGAGGGCTTACCATTGGCTCCCCAGAAGAGCCCCTTCCCCCGGCATATCCCCACTTGGGGACTCACCTCAGGCGGGGTTCCAGTCTCTTCCACAGACTGTCATGAGACAGGGAGGGAGTGTGTGGCCCGGGATCCTGTGGCTTCCTCCCTGCTCAGCTGCTGGGTCACTCCCTGGTCACTTTGGTGTCTTGATCCCCCCCCCCACCACCATGGTCCTGGGGGTCCTCCTCAGCTTGACCCTGTTTCCCGAGAACCGCCAGTGTTGAGGCCAGGCATATTTGAGGATAGCTGGACGGGCCATTTAACGCGTGAGCGCACTCTCTCGCGAGCTTGCCCATGGTGTGGTTCTGGTGTGGCCACTTTATAATGTGCCCTTGAGAAAGTCCCTTCTCTGTGCCTCAGTTTCCTCATCTGCAATTTGGGCATTCCCCCCCCCCCCCCCCGCCTACCTCTGGGAGAGGGGTGTAGGCACGGGAGGGGACCAGCTGGCAGCCAGCAGCATCTGTAAAACCTGCCCTCCCTCCAGCGCGCCCGACCAGGAATGCCTTCATTTCCTGCGAGATGGTACCAGTCCTTCCCAGCGGGGCCATGGTCCCCCTAGACATCAGGGTTCAAAGATGGGTCCCAGAGGGGCCCCTCACCTCAGCTGCAGGCCAGCCAGCCCCGAGTACTTCATTCACCAGAGAAGGAAAGTTCGACTTCCTCAATGGGCAGCTGGTCCGAATTATCCCCGGGCTGGCTCTTCCCGGCAGCTGCAGAGAATCAGAGCCTGTTTTCCCACCCGCCTTCCTGCTGTCCCCCAAGCCCCCTGCCTTTCTTCTGCTTGGCTTGGGCAGGGCCTGGAAGGCAGCAAAAACAAACCAGCCTAGGAGTGGCTGCGGGGTCCTAAGGCTGAGGCCGGGTTCACCTCTCTGGAAGGAAAGTGCCTGGGCTTGCCCTAGTGTGCTAGTGTGTGGGTTGACTTTGAGGGGAGCGTCAGGGGGCGGCCTTGCTTCTGCACCCTCAGGGTGCCAGAGGGTCACCTTCTCCACGTCCCTCCTGCACGGCCTCTGCTCTTTCTCCTGAGCTGGTCTTGTCTGTGGGTTTGCAGTCAGAACCGAAGGGGTGGGGGGAAAGAGGATCCCATTTCCCCCCACCTCTGGGGAGTGTTAAGTCGGGGTGTGGGTGGGATAGGGAGAGTCCACTTCCCCACCATGGGTCCAGAAGACAACCTGAAATCTGGTGGCTGCCACTCAATCAGCTTCCAGATTGGAGTGACCGGGGAAGTCCCTTCTCCTTGGAGGACTTGTCCTTACAGGGGCTCAGAGCTTCCCCTTAGTCCTGCTACGCTGGCAAAGTAGAGGCTCCTCCCTTTCTGAGATGCTCCGCCCCTTCACTGGAGGCTCCACCCCTTTTCCAAGAGGCCCCACCTCTTTCCCGGGAGGCCCCACCCCTACCCCAGTGACTCCACCTCTCTCCCAGAGGCCCCACCCCTTCCCCAGGGGCCCCACCACTTTCCCAAGAGCTCCACCCTTTCCTGGAAGCCCCGCCCTTCCCAGAGGCTCCACCCCTTCCTCAGAGTCCCCGCCCACCCCGAAGCGGAGGCCCCGCCCCAAAGCACTGCTGGTCCGTTTCTCCCTGAGCAGTTGTCCTGGGGTGGGAGCACTGTGGGAGCAGGCAGACGGGGTGGGTGTGTGAGTACCCAGGGATTAGGCTGCAGAATTAAACAGGTTGTTCCGAGTCTTCTCCGTGGGGAGCGGCAGCCTCCTGCATGCCCCCACAAGCCTGCAGGTGTCCGTTTGCATCCTCCACACAGCCTCAAGGGAAGTGTGGAGGTAGCGAGTGGCAGTGGCCTCCCTCCAAGCTGGGGCCAACAATGGGTGGGAGGTGGCCCTCCCAGATGGGGGCTCTCCATGTGCTCCTCCAGCAGTGCTCTCGGTCTAGGGTTCCCACTGGTTTCACATGGGGCTTCCCAGGCCGAGCTGAAAGGGGCCTATGGCAAAAAAAGCAGGGGTCTGGAAGGGGCCCAGGTACCCTAGTAACAGCTGGGCACTTCCCAGTTCTCAGTAGCTGTTTTCTCATCTCGACTTTGGGGGTGGTTTGGGGTCCACAGCTGGGGGGTACTCCTGAGTCTGTGCTCAGGAGTGACGCCTGGTGATGCCCAAGAGATCCTATGTGGGGCCGGAATTTGAGCCTGGGCGGGAGCAGCAAGACGCCGTGTGTGTCTCTCTGGTCCGTTTCCTCTCCCCTGGGCGAGGGTCCCTGCCAGCGCCAGCATTCCCGGGGCTGGTTCCCTCCACCCACGCGAAATCAACTTCCCTTGCAAGCTCAGCAACAGCTGCAGATGGGGAATGTGGGGGTGCTGGGGGCCCCTCACAGCGTCTTTCTGGGTCAGTGAGCGAGTCACTGAAGCAGGAAACGGACCCAGTGCTCAAGTCTGTGCCCAGGCAGTGGGACACCTGCTCATCTCTGGGTTCCCCCTGCACCTTAGGAGAAGCCCCGCTGTTTCGGGGGGGAGAAACACCCACTGAAGGACGATGGGTGGGGCATCCACCCCCACCCCCACCCCCACTCTTCGATGAACTAAAGGAGCCTGATGGTGTCTGAATCGGGGCTCCCAGTAGGAAGGCAAGACGAACAGCCACACAGGGAAGGGGTCCCACAGAACAGGGGGGATTCCAGGGCCAGCAGGGCTGGGGCGCAGAGAAGGAATGCAGGGGGCTGTCCAGGCAAGGCTTTAAAGGGAGCAGGCCAGGCTGGCATCAAAGCAGAGTGTCCCTTGTCTCACTGTGGCCCTTGTCCTCTCTGGACCCTGCCCCAGGCCTAGGCCTGTGTCACCCTCTGACTGGGAAGAGACTTAAAGGGCCAGAGCACAGACTCCGGGGGCAGGACGCCCGGGTTCAACACCCAACATCGCATGTTCCCTGAGCACTGCCAGGAGTGACCCCCAGGGCCACTTGATGTGAACCACAAACTAAAAGGCACGAGCGTGCGCACACACACACACACACACACACACACACACACACACACACACACAGAGCCCTGCCTTCCTCACCCCTGCCCTGCCCTGGGCAAAGAGAGGCTTGTCCTCAACCCCAGGACACCCCACATGGCCCTCAGGGGGCCCTTCAGCACTTTCAAGGGCATCTGAGGACTTACAGGAGGCCTGCGGGACACGAAGACGGGGCACAAAGAGATCAAGCCACCTCCAGGCATCGGGGAGCCCGGGGGTGCCCCACGGCTGGGTGAGAAAGCTTCAGGGAAAGGCTTGGTTCACCCCTGCCCACCGGACCAAGCCCATCTTAGCGGGGGCGTGCCCCTCCTCCCTGGCGGGCTTGACGGCCACTCCTGGGGTTTCAAGTGGGGACCCAGCTGCCACCCGCTTTGGTGTTTGCTCAGAGGACATGGCCAGTGTCCATGGCAGAGCTGCACCTGGACATTTGAGGAGCCTCACTTGGTCCTGGTGACCCATGCCTGGACCCCAGGGAGTGTCAGAGCCAGGGTAAGGGACAGGGTGACTGTAACAGAGGGAATACGTAACAGCGGGGTGACCATAATGGAGGGGGTGGCCATACATCAGAAGTGACCATAATGGAGGGGATGACCATATGGAGGGGGTGACCATAATGGGGGGGGTTTGACCGTAACTGAGGGGGTAACCATAAGGGAGGGGGTGACCACGTTCCCTGCACACACAAGGACAGGGAGGGAGCAGGGAAAGACCGGGAGAGCCTTAGACTCTGCTGGGAGGGAGAAAGAAGCCAGCAGGAAATGGCTGTGTTCTCTGGTCCCAATCCTGGAACATTCTGGAATCGCCAAAGGGTAGGGAGGGAGAGACGGAAGGGCGGGGTCTCCGAGGGTTGAGGAGGGAGACAGGGAGCTGGAGCCTGAGGATATTCTGGGCAGAGACTGCCCGGGGGTGGGGGTGGCCTGGCATGTGGGCACCATCTGTCCCCCATGGAGTGGACACACCCAGAAGGGCTGCCATGGACACTTCAGGCTCGGGTGACATGCTTGTGTGGCTCATCCACTGTCGCAGGGTCCCACCTGCTGGTGGGTGCTGATTGCAGGGACGCTGGGCTTGGGGCGTGGGGGCACCTGGGAGCCCTCACTTTGAGCCCGTGAATCTCAAGCTATGCTAAAACAATTAGCTTCGATGGAGAGAGGGCACAGAGGAAAAGGCACCTGCCTTTTGGACAGCTGACCTAGGTTGGATCCCCAGCACCACGTAGGGTCCTCTGTGACCCACAGCAGTGACCTCTGAGCCCTGTGTGACTCAAAATCGAGAAACAAAAACCAAACTGAAAAGCAGAATAGTTAGCCTCTCTCAGCGGGTGGAGACACAACCAGTGGCGCTCTGAGGTCACTCCTGGGCCCGTACTCAGAGATCACTAGAGACGGGGCTGGGGATTGAACCCAGGTCAGCCAGGTGCAAGGTAAACGTGCTGGACTGGAGACAGAGGTAACCCACTGGACTTCCTATAGCTCTGGCCTGCCAATAGAAACCTATTTATTAGGTGCTCGGGACAGGAGTTATAGTACAGTGGGAGGGTGCTCAACCTCCACACAGTCAACCCGGGTTCGATCCCTGGCATCCCATAGGGTCCCCTGAGCACCACCAGGAGTGATTCCTGAGTGCAGAGCTGGGAGTGAGCCCTGGGCATCATCGGATGTGACCTAAGATAACAACCACAAAACCTACTTCTAAGAATCTCAGAGGCCAGGGGGCCTGGTGGCTGTGGCTAGGGAAGGTCCCCGCGTGTCCTGGCCCTGTGGTGACCGTGGCCCATTCCATCAGGTGGCCTGGAGGCCGTGCTGATCCGCCTGGTGAACGGCTCGGGCCCACACGAGGGCCGCGTCGAGGTCTTCCACAACCAGCGCTGGGGCACGGTGTGTGACGATGGCTGGGACAAGAAGGACGGGGACGTGGCCTGCCGCATGCTGGGCTTCCGGGGCGCTGAGGCTGTCTACCGGACGGCTCACTTCGGGCAAGGTGAGGCTGATGCTCCGGTCCCCCGTTCCTCCTTCCAATCTAGGCCTGGCGCCTTCCTGCAGCCAGAACTCTGTGCTGGGGGCAGCAGTGCTGCCGGCTTAGACATCCCGACAGTACCGCGGGCAGGGCCCAGTCCGAATCCCAGCACCCTATCCCGAGCCCCACCAGGAGGAAGTCTTGAGTCCCACAGGGTGCGTGCCCCGACATAAGACAGCAGCAAACATCCTTCCTTCCCTGGAATTGACTCTTGGGTTGTCTCTGGGCTGGTTCTCAGCAAGGTGCAAACAAGTCACTCGTGGGACTGGAGTGATAGCACAGCAGGTAGGGCATTTGCTTTGCATGTGGCTGACCCGGGTTCAATTCCTGGCATCCCATATGGTCCCCCAACCACCACTAGGAGTAATTCCTGAGTGCAGAACAAGGAGTAACCCCTGAGCGTTGCTGGGTATGACCCAAAAAGGAAAAAAAAACAAAACAGTCACTCATCACAACCATCCTGACACAGCTCTGAGGAGAGAGAGATCAGGGTCCTCTCGCTTTTTCTTTTCTTTCTTTTTTTTTTTTTAAGTAAGGAGCCACAGAAGCACAGGGAAGTGAGGGCGGTGGCCCCAGGCCACACAGCAAATGCTATGTCTGGGACTGACCTGTCGCTGTCCCCCTCTGACTCTTCCTTCTTCTTCAGGGCCCCTTCCAAGTACTTCGCCTTGTCCTCAGAGCTGGAGGAGGGCTGGGGTGCGAGAAGGAGCACCCCAGCACGTTGTGTGAAGGGCAGGTATGCCCGGGTAGTGGCAGTGCCCGGTGCTCATACCTGCTTCTGCTTCCAGGACTGACTCTTGTGCCAGCCTGTCCCCTGGGCTGGTCCCCGGGGCCCCTCTCTCTCTGCCAGCGCCTCTCTCGTGCCTCCCAGCTCCAGCCTGCAGCCTTTTCCTGGGACGGGATTCCCCAGAGACACTAATCCTCCCCAGGTCTCCGAGGGCTGCACTGTGTAAGCTCTGGGGAGCGTCCCCCGGGAGCAGTGCTGGGCTACAGAGGGCGTCCAGGGCCCCCGCTGAGCCTCAAGCGTTGCATGCAGAAACCCCCAACCCCACCCCACGGCTTCCATCCCCCCAGCACTGCTGTGTGTGGCCAGAAAGGGGGCGAACTACAGCCCCAAAGATGTCCCCTCGGCTCTGTCCCTGAACGCGCCCCACCCCGAGGCTTGCTGCTGAGCCAAGTCTGGTGCAGGCCGCTGGGAGCAGGAGGTGATGGGAGATGCGGGGAGGCCATTGGGAAAGGGGTTTCTCCCTGGCCAGCCAAGATGGCCTTCAGGGTCTCGCCTTCCGTAAGGCAATATTCAGCAGACAGGGACTCAGCTGTGAGGGTGCCCCAGCCCACCCCAGCCCACCCCACCCCAGCTGCCCTGTCTCAGACACCTTTTAAGTGTGTCCCTGATGGAACTCCCCCTCCTTGGCCCCCCTGGGACACAGCCAGAGAGGCTGGACCTGCTCACAGCCTGAACGTTAACCCCATGTTTTTGTTTTTGATTTTGGCTTCTGGGTCATACCCAGTGGTATCACTGGCCTACTCATGGCCCTGCACTCAGGAATCACACCCGACAATGCTCGGGGGCCCTATGGGATGCCATGAATTGAACCCGGTCTGCCACAGGCCAGGCAGGTGTCTGCCCAATGTAGTGTTGCTTCTGCTCCACTGTTCTTCTCTTTTGCTTTTTTTTCTTCCTCTCTCTTTCCTTCTTTCTCTTTCCTTCTTTCCTTCCTTTCTTTCTTTCTTTCTTTCTTTCCTTCTTTCTTTTTCTTTCAATTCTTTTTCTTCCTTTCTTTCAATTCCTTCCTCCCTCCCTCCCTCCCTCCCTCCCTCCCTTCCTTCCTTTTTTGGCATCACTCATATATCTAGCAACTTTGGGTGCTGGGGCAACCAGCCACCCCACTTTACGGTGACGATGACCCTGATTTAATGCCAAACCACACAGAACCCCCCCGGGCCCACGGTGTCCCCAAGAATTGCAGGGAGAACTGGGCTCTGCACCTTCCCCACTCTGTGCTTCTCAGATGTCAGAGAGCAGCCCCAGAGATTCAGCCTGCGGGGGGGGGGGGGGGAACCTAAGGTTTCGGGGAGCTTCGGGGTGGGGCGGACACAGGGGCGGCCTGGGAACATCCTCAGAACAGCGACACTTCTAAGCGCTGTGGCCATGGGCACCCCATGGCCCGGCTGTTTTCTGGGCTCCCCTTACCTGGGTGGTCGCGTGCCATACCCCAGGCAGCCCCCCAGTGCAGGGGCTGGTGATCCTGCCCACAGTGTGGCAGGAGGGGCCTAGAGGCAACAACAGTCATGGCCCCTGACCATGGCCCCTGACCCTCCATGGGGCTGCCCACTCCACCGGGGAGCAGCTGCCCTCTGACCCGACACAGCCACGGGAGAGCCAAATAGCACCCAGAGTGGGTGTCTTCGCCCCAGAAGGTCCAGCGTCTTCACAACTGGGGGCGCAGTGCCCACCCTGCCAGCTGACCCACTTGGCAGTGCTCCCAAATGGACCCGGGGCTACCCCCAGCCAAGGGCTGCTGGTTCCCAGGATGCCCCCAGCTAACAACTGGGCCCTGAGTCCTCAGGGCTGCCCCTAGCTAGCAGTCGGGCTGGACACAAGCTGGACGCAGGGCTCCCGCGGGTGCCCCAGCTCTGAGTGTGTCCCTCTTCACCCCGCAGGCAGCGGCAGGATCTGGATGGATGACATCGCCTGCCGGGGCACGGAGGACACCCTCTTCCGCTGCAGCTTCTCCAAGTGGGGTGTGACCAACTGTGGCCACGCCGAGGACGCTGGGGTGACCTGCCACAGGGACTGAGAGTGACACCCGCCGCTCTCCTCCTCGGCGCTGGGCCCAGGCAGCCCATCCGTCCCAGACCCCTGCCCCAGGGCCTGCTTGGTCCTCCCACACATCCCTAAGCCAGGGTCACACCTGCTCACTGAGCCCTGCCCACTGGCTGGACCCCTCCTGCCCCGGGTTGGGGGGACCTGGCCCCAGGGTGGGAGGGGCCGAGTGCATCTTCCCCCGCAGAGACCTTCAGGGTCTCACAGGGCACAGCCTGACTGGCTCCTTGCTGACCCCTGTGCTGTGTCTGCCCATTGGGGGCCTGGTGCCACCTACAGGCAGCTGCCGGGGACAGGGGAGCTGTGGGTCCCCCAGAAATCACTCTGAGGGTCAGAGGATTATAGCCTGAGCAGCTTCGTGTGCCTCTTCCTGTCAGAGGGCGGCATTCCTCGGTCCTCCCGGCCTTGCTTTTCCATGAGTGCTGCCCGGGGAAGGTCCTCCCTCCCTTCTCTTGACCCCTCCTAGCAGTGACCAGTCACTGACCCACAGATGGGCGCTGTGTCCAGCTGACAGGGTGTGAGGCAGGGTCAGCTCTGGCTGCTTCCGGTCTGGGTGGATCATGGACTGGGAGGTGACCCTGGGGTCCGCGGGAGGGGTGGACAGCAGTGCTGTGACCCAGAGTGGCTCCAGGCAGTGACCATGAGCCTTCTAGGTTCCTTGGGGGAGCCATCCTTGGACCCTCAGGGGTGGAGGTTGGGAAAGGGGGCCCCTATGCCCCTCTCCAGGAACAGGGAAATCTTGGTCCGCTCTGGACAGGAGAAAAAGGTCAGCCTGGATCATGTACAGGAGAAGGTCAACCTGGGTTATGCCTGTGTTCTGGGACCGGGGCAGGGAGGGAGGGTGAGTCTCCGTGGCAGCGAAGGGACATAGACGCGCCTCTCTTGGGGGGAGTCCCTCAGAGGCCTGAGCCCCGGTGAGAGGGTGGGTGAGCTGCGGACTGGCAGGAAGCAACCGTGGCCCCCCTGTGCCCAGGACCAGCCCTGCTCAGAACTGTGCTTCCTGCCGCCCTCCACACACCCCCACCCCCCGCCGCCCATGGGAGCGACAACAGTTCTTGGGAGCATAGCTCGGAGCTCCACGCCGGGCAAGAAGACAGTAAGAGACAGTACCAGGTCACTCCCTCATCGAGCTGCAGGGACCCGGTGACCTTCCTTACTGGAGTGGGGAGGGGGGTTATGCCTTGCTACATGGAAGGGGACACGTGTCTGAACCCTGAAGTCAGCACCTACAGGTTTATACAGCGACGTCAGAGGACCTGCGGGCCGAATTTCAGGGGCTGGGAGGAAGAAGCCCCCCAGGCACAAGCCCTCTGATAGGAAAGTCTCAATAAAGAGGAAAGACGTCACTGGCAGCTCCCTCACTTCCTTTCTCGGGAAAGGCTGCCGCTCTGTGGGAGAGCTGGGAAGGGAGAGCGCTGGGGGTGAGGCTGTCTTCTGGTGGGGACTGGGCTGTTGGGGGGACAGTCAGCAGTTCAGGCCAGAGCACAGTGGAAGAGGATGTCAAGAGGCAGGCTGAGGGTCCAGGCAAAGGTCCCAACCATCAGCACTGGGGAGAGACACCCCTCCCCCCATAAGGGGATTGTTGGCGCGGCCGGTGGATGACTTGGGAGCTGGCAAGGACCCGGATACTCTGTGGTGGAAGAAACAGGGAAAATCTCCAGTCCCGGCTCACCTGTCCACCAAAGCAGCAGCTGCAGCCGCGTGGAGACCTTTGCTGAGAGGCTTAGGTGCTGGGGACACTAATTAGCTTTTAGCATCAGAAAATGTATTTCTGCAAATCGTCACATGAATCGATCTGAAGAGAAAAAGCATTGGCTAATCAGTCAATCATGAAATGTTTACTATTCAGTATTAAACGTTCAGTACTTTTACTAATAGTAAAAAATCTACCAAGCATAGATGGTAACTTCTCATACAGAGACTATCTAAAGCTTGTAGCAAGTATAATTTTTTCTTTAAAAAATTTGCTGTCCAGGGTCAGAGAAATGATACAGGGATAAGGCTTGTCTCACACCTGGCTGACCCCAGTTCGATCCTCTGGGAGTGCCATAACGGTGCCCCGAGCATAGTCAGGAAATATACTTGAGCATAGCTGAGTATGGCCCAGGCCTCCTCCCCAAATAAACAGATTTTAAAAAATATTTTTCAGGGATGGAGCTGTAGCACAGCGGGTAGGGCGTTTGCCTTGCACGCGGTCAACCTGCGTTCGATTCCCAGCATCCCATATGGTCCCCTGAGCACCGCCAGGAGTAATTCCTGAGTGCAGAGCCAGGAGTAACCCCTCAGCATTGCCGGGTGTGACCCCAAAAGCAAAAAAAAAGTAATAATAAAATAAATATATTTTTCAGAAGGCCACTGAGTTGGCTCAAGAGGCTAGAAAGTTTCAAATGCAGGAGGCTCTGGGTTCGATCCCTGGCACCAAGTGGCTTCCTGACCACTGGCAGGATCCACCCCCAGGGACCAAGCAGGAGTAGCCCTGAGCATCACTGCATGTGGCCCCCAAACGAACAACAACAAAAACAAACAAACAAACAAACAAAAAGATGTCAGGGGCTGGGAAGAAACCTCAGGGGTCTAGAGCTCGTGCTTCCTATGTTCGAGGCCCCAAGTTCAATCCCCGTCCCTGAGAGTCTCATAAACTGTATTGCATCACAGGGCTGAGGGTCAAACCCTCACGCCCCTGAGCGACCCCCCCCCCCGGCTCCTCCCAGCACCTTAGGGAGCGTATCCCCCAAATAAAAAAGCTAGCTGATCCTTCGGAATGTCCACTTCCTTCTCTTTGCGTGGTTGTAACTGTGATGCCCGGGGTCGACCACACTCACAGAGCCCCCAGAGTTAAAGCGGGTGGTCCCGAGGATCTCAGTGGATGTGTCAGTGGCGTCAGACTCAACACTTGGGGAAGCCCAGAGGAGCCCGCCCGGGGCCTCAGGCTTGCACGGCAGGTGCCCAGCTCCGGGGTCCCCAGCAGCACCCTCCATTCTTCCATGTGAACATCAGCGCCCTTGCTTTTCCCTCCCAGAAGCAAGCGACAAATGGCATGATCCTAGCTTTCATCGCGCCGCTGACGTCTCGGCCTGCACAAGAAGGAATGAAAAAGAAATCAAAAGTGTGAGGATTGGCAAGGAAGAATCCCAGCTAAACATCTGCAGATGCTCCAGCCCCAGATACAGGATACAGAGCACCCCCCCCCACCCCCACCCCCGACTAGAATTGCTGAGGGAGGCGCGGGGCGGAATGAGTGTCAGGCGGAAAAGACCCCCACGTCTTTCCTTCTCCTGATGTCTGCGCATTCTGAGGGCTGCTCTTCATGCTCAAGTTTAAAGAAACGGAAAATGATACTCCAGCATAAATTGGCAAGTTCCTCCCCAGATATAAATAGCAGCAGGGCCCTCCCACCGGAATATGGAGAGGGAGCCTCGCCAGGACCTGGGGCGGCGAGTACAGGGTTTGGGTCCAGGAGGCCAGGACCATGGGGTCCCGGGCATCTCCCAGTCAGGACTGGTCCCGCTGCTCACCGCCTGCTCCTCACGAACCCTAACTCCTGCGTCTCCCTGAGGAACCTCTTCCTTCCTCCCTTCCACGCCTTGCTCTTACTGGCCCTCTGGTCTCATTCTGCACATCATCTCTTCTGGGGAAGCTATCCTTGACCCCCCACACCAGAAAAGGCCCCTTGGCATCAACCAGCACATAGCTGGCCTTCCCCTTTTAGCTAAGGGCCCCGATTTGTCCAGTACCTGATTCCCTCAAGAAACGTTCATCGTCATAAGGGGTCAAGTGCAGTACCCCAGCCAGCACACTGGCAAAGAGTCTGATATTTCCTTGTTTGTTTGGGGAGGGTTTGGGCTCACACATGGGGCTTACTCCTGGCTCCCACTTGGGGATCACTGCTGGCGGTTTAAGGGACCATCTGGGATACTGGGATGGAATCCTGGACAGCAGCATTCAAGGTAAGCACCCTACCTACTGTATTATTGCTCTGGCCCCCCAGGGTCTGCTAACTTCTGAGCAAGGAAAGAATTCAGAGAGCCTGGGGGACAAGTACTCCCCTCTGCTCTAGCGAGAAGGAAAAAGAACCCAGATGCTGGGTCCTAGGAACTGAGGGCTGGTTGTGGGGCACAAGAGGATGTCGATTGTATTTTCTGGGAAAATATCCCCATCCCGGATTTTCTGGGACACAGTTATTTCTAAAGTCCCAGTGGCCTGGTAGTGGTCTTCCAACTGAAGACATAGGGGACTGTTATTGGGAAACCCATTGTCTGATACCAATGGGATATTTCTAGTATATTGTATTAAAAATATAATAATGTTAATCCCCAATGAAACATCCCACTGGTGCATTTGACATTGTTCCCAGAGCAGAAAAACAATTATAATCAGAGGAGGCTTTGGCTAAAATACAAAGATGAATGGGACATAAAAAAGAATCCCCTAAATCCTAGGCAAGGAGATAGTCTGGTGAGTAGGGTGCTTACATTGTACACAGCTCACCCGGGTTTAAATCCCAGCAGTGTCTATGACCCCCGCAAGCACCACCAGGCGTGATCCCTGAGCACAGTGCCAGGAGTTAGCCCTGAGCATCGCCAAGCAAACAAATCTTAACTTGAAAGGGTTTTACCAAGAGTTTTATAAATCATAACTTTTATATAGTTACCGTATATGACCACGTATAAAACCACCAGTTGGTAGAATGGTCATACAGATTTGGCAATAAAACATCACACAAACTCCTGACTAAAGCAGTAAGTTCATCTGAGGCACCAAATTCACTCTACTTGGTGCCATTAGCTTGTCACCGAGATCACATGGGCCACAGAAAGTTCAAGGGAAGGGAAGCAATGTGAATTTGGTCAAGGAAGCAGAATTGGGGGGTCTCTGATCACCCCGTGGAAGTCTGCTCAGGAGGGAATCCTGTTCTCTTCTGGAAGGGCAGATATGGAGCCCTCTACGCGGTATCCAGCACACACAAGTCCACTCAACCAGATGGACCTTCGGGCTGGAAGCGGTCGGACAAAGGGTAACGCTGTTGGCTCTCTGCTGACACCTGC